GTTTTGTGTTATTTACTATAAAACAACAAATATAAAAACACATAGTTATATTGTCTTGCTTTCTTTGTTATTCAACAACAACTTTCATTCTCTTCTGCAAAGGAATTCTAATTTTCCCAGACCATTGAGCCCTTTTCTTTCCCAAGGGCTTTCAGAGTGGCCTTTGCGTCTGATGTCCTGCTTACTAAGAGGTAGAGCAATGCCAGGAAGGTATTTCCCAGGGTTCACGCAATGTTTACCAGAAAATAAGCCTTTGGAACCCTGCTGGCCTCAGTGAAATCCATGATTCAAACAAACGCGTTAGACTTAGCTGAAATGTTAGTAGGAACACAAGTGTTCATCCATCGCCTCCCTCCCAAAAAAAAGTCCTATTAACTACTTTCCAGCAATTTCAGAACAATGTTTGAGAGACAATTTAAAAATCATATTATACATGAATAAATCCTCCTGAACATTATTATAATACATTATTATTCAGAAAGTAAGACAGGTCATTGATAATTACTAGCTTGCAGTTGATAATTATGATAGGGCGATTGTTCAACAAGTGTCTGGAAAATATAGCTATCTAATTTTTTTAATCGTGTGTAAGTATTTGAAATTAATTCCTATAGTATTTGTTCCATCTGGAATCGCTTATGCAGTTAATCTATTTTCCCCTCTTGTTTGCCGACTTGTTTTAGTACAGTAATATTACAAATAGTAAGATTTCCACAAAAGGTCTTAGTATACACAGATTGCAATATTTTTAATCTCATGAGAAAGAAATAACTTTCCCTATTCTATGAATTTGGCCTTAGCTTCATTAAATGTACCTACTGGGGCATTTGAAATGATTATATTTATGGAATGGTTTTCCCAAGAGATCATTGCTGAAGCGTTTTATTTTTTTAATCCCCAAACGTGGCACTCAGTGTGTTGTGTATTTGAGTGCTCAGTGAGTTATTCATGTGACAGTGCACAGCAGATTGATGTAAACAGAAAAGGCATATCGGAAACTTCATGTAGACTTTATAAAATCTTTGACATGGCTTATCAGCAAAATAATTCAAGTAGAAACTTTAGAGCAAGCCAAAAGTAAAAAAAAATTACTTTTATAATTTTGTTTCTAGGAAGGATAGAATTATTGAATTTCCTGCAACTATTTTGCTGAATCATTTATCATTTTGCTTTTTAAGATTTTCTCTTATACATTTCCATCACTTCTTAGAAAGAAAGCTCTAATCTCTTTAAAGTTTGGGAGTCTTGCTTATTCAATTTCTAATGTTTTCCAAGTACATAGAATAATACAGTACAATGGTACAATATATTTATTTATTGTTGTATTATAATATAATTATATTATGTGTGTTTTTTCCGTACTTTTTGTGTCAAACTGAAAATATATATAAGATGAAATTGAGTTTCTTCTTGATTTATCGTTTCAAAGCTTTAAACCTGGCTGACTAGGAAGACAGACCCTGACTTCCAACTCAATTCTGTTCTGACAGCTTCATTATAAGTCAGTTTTGAGATTAATTGAATGCCTCATTTTTATTTTTTGTTATTATTTATTTTTATCATCTGTATCTTATAAATCTGATCTTTAGAAGTTGGAAACATGTAAAGATGCAATGACATCAGCAAATTAAATGCTGCAATATAGTATGTAATACATATCACTAGCAATGTTATTGTTAGTTGTGTAAGTTGTTTCCAGCTTACAGAGACAGCACGTATAAAAAACACAACACTGCACAGTCCTGCACTGTCCTCACAGTGTTCTCATATTTGAGCTATTAAGTAAACCACTACCACCACCAAAATAACTGGACATTATGAATGTCATAACTCTAATGGGTCTTAGCTCTAATTCAAGACTCCTTATAAGGAAGGTAATATCAGATTCTAAAGTGAAAATATTCCTTTTTCATACGTTATATTTATCTTGTGACCTTTATTTTTTCAGAAGCACAAATATCACTAGTAATTTAAACTCAGCTAGAAATATTAAAAAGTCTTTTAATATAATATAATATAATAGTCGGTACTATCAGCCATCCAACAGATGGGTTTGAAAAATGTTTCCGAGAATGGAATCGCAGATTTGACCACATATTAAGTGTAATGGAGAGCAGTTTTAAACGGTTAAAGTAGTTTTGTAAAACTACATGGCTTTGGAAAAAAATTTCCATTTTTTTGGGTGGGAGGCGGGGGTGAGGGGGAGGTAGCTCCTCATATTTTATACTTCTTAAACATCCAACTGGAAATAAAATTACTTGAGAAGGGTCAACCTTTTAAGGCATTTGATCTGATGAACATGAATATGGTCATGCAAAGTAAAATCTATGTGAAGTTCATGTTATAGGTCGTAGGTCCCCAAATTTGTCCCACCACTGCCTTTTGGATGACTCCATGGCCGTGAATTTGTGTCATTACAGTCTCTCCCCTAGGGGGCACTATTGCACACTTTGGGAAACATGATAAGAGTTATGCAGTGCTCCTAAACATAAAACCTTGAGAATAAAAATACTTTGGGTTTTAATCAATTAGGCACCCCAATGAAGGGAGGTTTCTCAATGCACTGACATCTGGAAGTTCTGTGATGGTAAACTATTATAAAGACAGCTATAGTCACACTCTGGCTAGCATTTAAATTCAATTAGGCTTTGTTTTGTTTTTAATTTTTGTTTTTCTGATAGACTCCAAGTGATGAGTTCTAAATGAGAACTGCTTATATAGCCTAGCTAAATATTTGATATTGATGTTGTTAGAGGCACATTGTCATATGTGGAAAAGTGAGTTTATTACGAGGCGTTTTTATTCTGTGTTGGAGTGGTATGTTTCTTTCCGCGGACATTCTGGAGCCTGGCAGTCTGCTCTTCATCATGCTGCGTGGCGGTTTTGAAGAGCCTAGGATAGCACAGAGTAGGGTAAATACATTTCTAATAATGCAACTACCCAGACAAAGGCAGTTTTTTCAATTTTTTTCCCCTTAGTGTTTTAGGTCTTTAGGATCCATTTGACAATGTATTGTACCTGCCATTTTTCCTATTATGAAAGACTGCTGTGCTGAACGTTGGTGCGTGGCACTCAATCACAGCATCCCTCCTTTGAGTGAAAGGAGAGAGCAAATAGCTCTCTCTTCAGAGAACCAAGTAGCACTAACCATTCTCCACTCTCAAATAATAAAATAAATTAAGCTATCAGAGATCCAACAGTACTTTAGTAGTGTCCTTTGGTGAACAAAGCTGATAAAACAAAATTTCATGTGGTTTTCTTTCATGATTTCAGCTCCTTCTGAGAAATAGATCTAGAGTGAGGCATGGAATATTTCAAAATATTTTCATTGACAGTGTTCTGGCGCAGTTGCTCATCAAAACCACTGGGAAGTCATATCTGACCATGTCAGGAATGCTATGCTTCTGGTTTTCGCATGGTGGCTCATTTCCACATTCAGAATCACCTTTGAGAGTGTGAAGTTTGTATGTAAACAAATGAAATAGGAAAACCTGCATGTTTGTGTATTTGTGAAATGGGCTCATTTATTGGGAGTGACAACTGGGTGTAATAATGTAAATTATAAAACAAAGTTATGTGTTTCTTCTCCACACAATTGAAACACATTCTCACTATACACATCTCCTCTATATTTACTCATTTTTTTCCTATGCACATGTTTATATAGTTTTAATACTTATGTACATATTCATAAAAAATCAGAATCATCTGTGTTTTTAACTTTTATATGAATGGTATCATACTATATACATATACTTTTGTCACTTATTTTTAAAGATATCTATTCTTAGTATTAAAAAAGTATCCTCATAGCTAATAATCTAGTACATTAAAGGCCTACTCCTGCTTTAGATAGACTATCATCTTTTAGAATATTGTTATAGAAGGTGCTGTGCTTTATTTCTACACTCCCTAAGTGAAGTAAGTTTGGTTGGGTTTAGTGCTTTTCAAGAATCCTAGAATGAAAAAAATAATTGACAGTCATGATCAATTTCTCATCTGAAATCTACTCTAACCTGAGATCATGGGAACTCCCCTCTACTACCAGCAGTATGCCTGGTTATTACACATTCTAAAGTTTGGCAAAGGGGGTTTTGGAGGAAGCAAACTACAATTGGGTATAATTAGAATATTTCGCTTTAGAACATAGATGCCAGTCAATTGGCAAAAATGATACAGTAAACAAATCAAGAAACAAGGCAAATATTATACTCAGAATACTGTTTTATAAAGATTTTTAAAGTGTACTTTCAGTATGAAAACTTGCATGAATAATATTTTGTTATTGTTTTTCCTGAGATCTGCTATTGCTTTTATCTGATCTCTGTATTATATTGCAATTATGGATGTTTATTTTTCTTCTTCGAGTAACTATCTCTACTCATATAAAATTCTCCAAGAATCAAATTCTAGATTTCAATAGGATTGAAATTGCAACATTCAATAGAATTATATATCCAATGAAAACTCTTGTTCTTTCAGCTTTTTTGCTAAGTGGTATACATGTGACTGATAATCAGAATTAACTAGCAATTGTTTTGAAAACATGTACTTAAAAATTCTGATTAAAAAGCAATAGGACAATAGAATCTGAGGTGGTTCTAAGTTACCTCTGTTGAAAGAGCATTTTTTGGCAGGATTACCCTGAATATTAGACCAAAGGCATGATACAATTTAATTTGTTGTTGTTGTTGTTTTCCAAAATCCTTGGCTAGAATTAAGTTAACATGCTTCAACTTTATTATATCTTGGAAATGCAAGTAGGTTAGAAAGGGTCAAATACTGTTGACATTCCTGACTATTTGCTAAATTATACCACAGAGGAAAGAGAAAATGATTCATCTATGAAATAGAAGACCCTGTTTAGGTTTAAATAATTTTAAGTGATTTTATTCATTAGTGCATTTAAGAAATAATGTGTTATGAATTTAGATTCTTATAATACTGTGCGAATTATTTTGCATAACTGGTAACTTATGGCCTCTCTGTTGTGTTTCCAGCACAGTGATGCAGTCCACGACCTGCTTCTGGATGTCATCACCTGGGTTGGAATTTTGCTGTCCCTTGTTTGTCTGCTGATATGCATCTTCACATTTTGCTTTTTCCGGGGGCTCCAGAGTGACCGTAACACCATTCACAAGAACCTCTGCATCAGCCTGTTTGTAGCAGAGTTGCTCTTTCTGATAGGGATCAACCGAACTGACCAACCAGTAAGACACCCACTTAATATTTGTAAAACAGTATCTGTCCTTCCAACTTTATCATGATAGCATACTCTACCAGTTGTCTGAGATACATATAATATTCAGATTTTTTTTCAGTTTGCCAACTTGCTTATTTTGTTACCATAGAGAAGTAATTGATAAGATGGTTGAAGTATGTTAGTTTAGAGATCCTGCATTATAAACTTGCCTATCTAAATAACTGCCAGTTTTTATTGTTTTTTTCCCCTCCTGTCCTTTCTTTCTTGCTTGCTTTTTTAAACCACAAATCAAATATTCAGAAAATGTCAATCAAATCATTTGGTGAATGGAGAAAATCTGCTCTAAGAGATAAAATTGTTTTATCATAGGGGATTATAATTTTCCTTTCAGGAAAAATAAGCATACATGCCTACATACATGTCTTAAAAAATAAATGTCTATGAGAAATTTTTTTCTAGTTGATGTTATTCAGAAGATAATACAAATGGCTGGCCGTTTTGAGACTGTATAAACTCTTCCCATGTTGTTGCTTTATATTTGCTTGTGTTCTGTTTACATCTTTAAAGGCCACCTCCATAATTCCTTGCCATATTTGGTTCTTCCAAGTAAAGAAGGGAGGAAAAAAGAAAGGAAGATGGGAAGGAAGTACAGGAACAGAAAAGCAGCAGCTTTAGTCAACTGCTCTTGGAGCAGCAGGGTATAAATAATAGGTTCTATTTAATGTTACACAGATTTTATGCTCACAGTTTTTGTGAACTCCTTTATTGGGTTTCCTTAAGATTCATGCACATGGTACAAGTTTGCTCTTATGCCTAAAAATGCAAATGAAAAGAAAACTTTAATCTGTTAGAATACTTGTGGGCATAATAAATAATTCATTCACTTAATGTGGTTCTCTGGTATGTGTCCATATGTATAGAACACTTCACAATAGAAAGGCAGTTGGATTCATGTTTGTGATTACACATTCGTGATTAATGGCTGTATAGGGTAGAATTATGGTGACTGTACTTTCAATTGGCTATCAAAACACATGTGGTACATATGAATAAGCAATCAAAATAAACAATTCTTTCTCCAGAGAAGTACAGCCTTCTGATAGCAAAAATTAATAGCTAACGTTCTAACTCCAAACATCAAGAAGTAGGAATTGTGTTAATTTTTTTCCCAAGATGATCTCAGTTTATTCTCTTCTTAACCTGCAATCAAATGCTTTCTTTTCATTTAGAAAGCTCATTTTTTGTGTTTGTTTCCAGATTTTACATATGGAGTGATAAAGTTCCTTACACATTACATAATTGGTTGCAAATAAGTATCATAAAAAATAATAATTGGTGCAAGTATAACTCAACCAAACGTGTTTTCCTCCTGCTTTTGCTTGCGTGCCTCCTCTTGCATCCCTGTTGTCTGTGTATGCCCCAGAGTTTGACTTTCTCCTGCCCTTGCTCATCTCTCTAACTCAATGAAATTGAACTGCCCTTTGTCTTATTTGCAAGGATTCACATTGATCAATGAATCCATACTAATCTGATCACTGCACAATTTGTTGAGCTTTTCTAGTATAAGATGCAGACTTTAGTTCCTGCTTCCTGTAAATAGAGAAAAACTCTAAAGGAACGAGAATTTTAGGAACTGACATAAGACTAGACAATTAATTAGGATATCATAAAGTTGAGCCTGATAGTACATTACAAAGCACAACAAAAACAAGAAAAACCTACCTTTCTTTTTTTGTTTTAAAACCAAAGCTGGCTAGATCAACCTTAAGTATAATAGCAAAAAAATAACAACAACCAAAACCGTGTAAGAGCCTAGTTTATGATCCTTCCATTTTGATTACATCTCTTCTCACAGCTTTGCAGCGTGAGTTTCTCATGCCACTTTAAGTACTTTCTGAAGTAAAGGAGGGTAGAACACAAACAAGTGTTCAATAATATTTAATGATCTCATCATAAAAGATAATAATGTATTATTCTATTTAATTTTAAGGATTTTTATTTCCCTCATTTTTAAAATGCTTTTCTTTCATTTACAATGGGAATGGTATATGTGATGCTGACCAAGAAAAAAATTCTCTACCATCTATGAGAAGTGTTTAGATTAAACTTTGGAACAATTATTAATAGATGCTCAGGTTTTTTTCTCCTAAATATCATTATCATTCCTTAATTTAATGCTGTTTTGTCACCTATGAACCATAAAAAAGAAAAAATAAGTACAGTTTTAATTGTGTAAAGTTAATTCCGTTTTAATACCTGTATTTTAAGAACCTTATCTCGCTTATTCTTTTGCATATCTATTTTATTGTTGCAATCTCAGTGATCTCTAATTATGAGTTTCCAGTTGTTGACAGATGTTTTGCACGACTCAGCAGAGTGAACCACTTGTGCTTTCCCTAGATTGCCTGTGCAGTTTTTGCTGCCCTTCTTCACTTCTTCTTCTTGGCTGCCTTCACGTGGATGTTCCTGGAGGGAGTGCAACTCTACATCATGCTGGTGGAGGTTTTTGAGAGTGAACATTCACGCAGGAAATACTTTTATCTGGTTGGCTATGGGATGCCCGCCCTCATCGTAGCTGTGTCCGCTGCAGTCGACTACAGGAGTTATGGAACAGATAAAGTGTGAGTTACTCGTTTTCTTTTCTTTTTAAACATAGTGGAAAAAGTGTTGGTGTTCTGTGAAGCTAATATCACCTCACAATGAGGCATGAAGAAACTGAAGAATCTCCTGGCACTGATGACTCTTCTTCCTTCACGTCAGTTCTTGCTCCTTTGACAGCTATTTATCACAGTTAGAATAAAAGCAGCCTATGCTCTTTGTTGCTGTTATTGTTGTGTTTTTGTTTGGTGATCATTTGGTTTGGGGTTGGGACTTTTTGTTATTATTTTTATTTTGTTTTGTCTTTTATTTTTTTCTTCTATGTGGGTGAGAATATAATGATGAATTTTGTTTCTGATGCAACCTTAAAATTAGAGAGACATACTCGTGGAGATGTCTAGCATACTGGAAAAGAGTTCAGTGAAAAATATTTTCATAGTACAAATAAATATAACAATTGTAACCTAGAGAATGAATTAATATTACATCAGGAAAAAAGGTAGCAGACAATGATTTCTGATGACTATCTACATTAAGAGGCAGAGTAAGGTAGGAACGCCAGAGTGCCAGAGTTTAGAACGAGACCAGAACATCCAGGGTTAAGTTGAGCAAAAACTGTTTCCAAGAGGAGGAGGTGACAAACATAATTCAAATAAGATAAACACTGAAGACATGTCTTTGATCCTCGGAAAGCAGTTTTGATTAAATTCTGGTTATAGAAGCCAAATCTAAAGGTTTGAAGCCAATAGGAAGAGTGTAGAGCCTTCGAGTATCATCCTTACTTCAAAGACTTTTGAAGGAAATAAAGTACAGCTATTAGCTCATATGGTAGCAAGAGTAAAGGAAACAATTCATTTCTTTTAAATTTTATTTATTTATGTATTTGGATGTTGAGTATACACTTGCAAGACATACACTAATCCAGCCGTTCCCACATGTACAGCTCAGTGGCATTGATTACATTCTCCAGGTGTCTAACCAGTCTCACCTTTTCTGAGTCACGTAGGCAAGATGTTAATACGTTTTGAAGGGAGTACCATTCATTCCATAACCCTAGGTCTAGAGTCATTATCAATCATGGATGACAAATAAAATGGAGCTACTCTGAGGTAATCACAGTGCGAATAACTCATTTGACTTTCTAACTGGGACAGTGGTGATAGATTCACTCGTCAGGTCTGCTAATGAGGCGGATCCCCACGGTGTGTAGATAGATCACTGGCCGGCACCATTCCCAGAGAGGAATCTGCTGCGCAGCGTTAGGGGCTAAGTCACAGGATTTCCCAGATTCAATTTGCTTTTCCCAAAATGAAATCATGATGATTTCAGGAAGCCAAAACACTGTATTACTGAACATTTTTTAAATCCCTGAGCGGTGCAAATAGCTAAGTTCTCAGCTGCTAACTATAAGGTTGGTGACTTGAAGCCACCCAGGGCGGTCCTGGAAGAGAAACTTGCCCATCTGCTTCTGAGAGGACACACCCTGGAAACCCCTGTAGAGCACAGCTGTGCTCCACACACAGGGGCCACCACTGGATGGCAACTGCTTTGGGTTTTTTCTTAGTGTAGAACATCCATTGCATTGTCTTCCATGACCTGTCAAAAGGAGATCTCAATTTGTCTTGGGCAAGCTCTCAAGTGATTTAGGAAGTTGAGTACTTTATGAAAGAAGCCTTCAAATCTGATAATTCAGGACAAGCATGTGTGATTTATATTAGAAACTCTCTGGGCCCTATCAACCCTTCAGAAGGTATAGGGTACATCTTCAGATGTAGTCTAGTAACACCTGTTCTAATGATCAGAAAAGAAGGAAAACTGGTTGCCTCCGAGTCCTTCAGTCTATGGTTCTACAGCGCAGGCAAATCAAATCCAGACTGTGCTATTAGCTCTGCTTCTGTTTGTGCCAGCTGAGTGTGGTTATTAGCCAGCCCTGCACAACTGCACAATGGAAGACTGACAGTGCTGTAACACATGCCATGGCCATTGTAATCAGTAAGTAGGTTTTCATAGACTGGTTTTTGCAAATAGATCACCAGGCCTTTCTTCCTAGTTGGGCTCAGCCTGGAAGCTCTGCTGAAACCTGTTCAGCATTATAACAATATACAAATCTCCACTGACTGCACATGAGGTGCATTGGCTTGGAATCACACCCAAGCCTGCTACAGAGAAGGTGAAAGTTCTACCACTGAGCTGTGATTGCCTGTCTATTATTAATTAGCAGAGGGACAGAATGCCACTTGCCCCTGTCTCACCTACAAGTGCTCAGAATGAGAAGCTGTGTGGCGCAGCATGAAGATCTGAGCTGGAGAATCGAGTTCTGGTGTCCCTCAGGCAGTCATCTGCACGTTGTGAGATTCCGAACCAGTGTTTCCTTTCTTTGGGCCTGCGTCTTTCTCTGTGAAATAAGGGGTCCAAGCCAATTGACATAGGAAGCCCCTTGTTAAATCTTGCTTTTGTTCTTCTACTACTTTGAAAGTGACATAAAACACCAAGAGTGACCTAACAGGGTTGTTTCAAACCATAGAATTACTATACAGGTTGTTTATCATTCTTTCCAGACACCAAGCACTTGATATAACCAACAGTTATAAAATCAAGGTGACCTACCTCACGCAAAATTTGAATTCTAGCTGAACACAAACCCTAAGCAATAAAAAACCACAATTGCACATTTACAAAGAGACAAGTCACTTGTTTGGGTAATTCCAGCAAAATTGCCCACATGGCTGCTCCAAACCAATCCACTGGGAAACACAGTGACCGAAATGT